ATACCAGATGCATTGGTCCTTTTCCAGTTTACTTTTGACAGAAGTGTAGTTACTCCTGGGGTTCCCATCTCATTCTTTAAATTATTGTTTTTATTAATGTACCTAAAGTCCTGCCAACCGTCTACTTAAAGCACCTTATTCTGTTTTATTCTGTTATCCTAATTATTGTCATTAAACACTTTTGCAGTTTACAATGTGCCAAAGTACTCTATATGTTTCTGTCCTTAAGGGTTTTCATCAAAATTGGATGGAATAAATCGTTTCACATAGTGAGTGGCCTTTTGTCAAATATGTAGACCAAAAAAAGTTCATTTACTGGGTAGAAGAGAGAGTGATCCCGAGCATGCAATCACACCTTGCTATTTTCTATGGCCCACAACAATTGGAGAGCGCCCAGAAGAGGGGGTGGAGCCTTGTGGATCCTCTGCTTGGCATTTATGTCTATGCCAGCTGTGTTAAAGGTTGTTCTTTCGAGCACACACACCACTGTCAAATCCCAGCCAGGCTGTCAGGTAATTCTACCCCAAGGACAAACTTTTTAAAATAGCACGGCCACCCCTTTCCTTGCCTCATCAACTCCTTCAGATTGCTCCTGCCTTTCGTTTTCAGGGCATATATTATTAATTTCTGTGTCATTCACAAGGACCGGTTGGAGGAGATGAGCAGGAACATAAAATGTGACTCTGAAGCTGGTAACCTCTGCTCTGATGGGGCTGCTGTTTTCACAGTGAAGTGATATGGGTCACTTGAGTTTCTTGCAAATGAGCTTCCTGCAAATGAGTTGCTCACCAAAGTACAATGTGAACAGAATCCTTTCTCAAAGCTCCGCTGCACTTTTTGGAAAGGAGAGGAGACAGGGCCTCAGGTTCCCTTTGAATCATTTATTCCAGAGCCAGCGTTGAAAAGTTTCACCATGGTGGAGAAGCCAGGAGAGGGTACTTTGAAAAAAAAACACACCAAAACACTTTTCCCTGCCCTCTCCCCAGAGCACAATTCACCTTTGACATTTTGCTAGACTTAAAAAGCCCTAACGAGTTTTCTCCCTTAACAGAGTTACATTCTTAACACTTCAAGGATTCCTGGGAGGTCATTTGTCACTCTCGGTGGCGAAGAAGTAGTGAAAAATACCATCTGTGTTCCCAGGGCACCTCTATGGCATTAGGAAAGAGTTTTTGCACTGGAGTTACCCCCAGCTCCTAAAAAAAGAAAAGGGAAAAAAAAAGAGGCACGAATTCCCTAGTGAGATTTTCTGCCGGACTGGTACACCGATCTCTTCTGATTTCTATTTGCTAACCTATTCAAAAGGAGCACTAATTAGTTTATGGCAAGGTTTCTCAACCTTGGCACTACTGGCATTTGGGCCAGATTATTCTTCGTTGTGGGGGGTGTCCTATGCATCGAAAGGGGCTTAGCAGCATCCCTGGCCTCTACCCACTAGATGCCAGTGGCATGCCATCACCTCCTACTTGGGACAACCAATAATGTCTCAGATATTGCCAAAAGTCACCTAGGGAATAAAACCACCTCCGTCTAGAACCACTGGGTTATACTAATGTCATGCACATAAACAAATAGTTGGCGGAGCACTTTGGGCTAGAGACAAAAAAAGCAGTTGGTGCCTTCATGGCCATCACAGTAGAGTAGGAGGGTTCAAATTAAGTAAATATATAGAGAATATAAGCACTAAGGGTTGAAATAAAAGAGGCATGTGGGAAAGAGAATGGGACCCATTGGGGCCAGAGAACACAAGGCATCTCATGAAGAGGTGACATTTGTGAGAGGCCTGAATGAACAGACAGAGTTCTGCAGAGGGGGTATAACCATTCCAAGAGGAAGAAGTGGAACCTCAGTGAATGCAGAGTGTTTGCAAGAAAGCAAGTAGTGGAGTGCAGCTCAACCTTAGAGTCTGAATAAGGAATAATGAGAAATGGAGCTAGGAAAAGAGTTTAGGAAGTATTAGGCAAATAGTTTAGGAACTCCTAGTCCATAAAAAGGGATGAAGTAATGATACATGCCTGGACAGCAATGAACCTTGAAAACATTATGCTAAATTAAAGAAAATAGTCCCCAAAGACCACATACTGTATGATGCTATTTATATGATATGCCCAGAATAGGCAAATCCATAGAGACAGAAAGCAGATTAGTGGTTGCCAGGGGCCAGGAGGAAAGGGAATGGGATGTGACTGCTAATGGGTATGGGATTTCTCCTTGGGGTAATGAAAATGTTCTGGAATTAGATAGTGGTGATGGTTGCACAAACTTATAAATATACTAAAAAAAACACAAAAAAAACCACACACACACACACCAAAAAAAACATTGACCTGTACACTTTAAAAAGGTGAATGTTGCCCCTAGCCGGTTTGGCTCAGTGGATAGAGCATCGGCCTGCGGACTGAAGGGTCCCAGGTTCAATTCCAGTCAAGGGCACATACCCATGTTTCGGGCTCGATCCCCAGTACGGATCATGCAGGAGGCAGCCAATCAATGATTCTCTCTCATCATTGATGTTTCTATCTCTCTCTCCCTCTCCCTTCCTCTCTGTAATCAATTATATATATATAGATAGGGTGAATGTTGTGGTACATGAATTACATCTCAGGAAACCAGTTCAGGACCTGTTGTAGAGGGCCTTATATGCTAAACTGAGGATATTTTTTTTAATATATACCAAGGCGGGGGGGCTGGTCTCAGGAAACCAGTTCAGGACCTGTTGTAGAGGGCCTTATATGCTAAACTGAGGATATTTAATGCTGGAGACACCAAGGCGGGGGGGCTGGTCACCAAATGCTTTTAATATGCCAGT